GTACCAGAGACTGATGCAATAAATGCTGCTAGACATACTGGACTTATATTGCGTAAAAAATAGATGAATTGAATCAACAAAATAATTATATTGTCTGTCCTATATCCATGACAAAATACTTCATGATTCACCAAACTCTTCTGTTACTCTAACAAACATTTTTTCACTTGAACAAATCATTCTATTTTATATGGATTCTGCAAACTCAATATTTCTTTTTATACAAACAGAACTACTTAATTCGATGAATCCTATAAAATGAATATTCTTTGCAACTTCAAACTGCATTAATTATTGAAGTATGAATGATCATTTCGTCAAATCTCTGACCATTTGTTCCCATTTTTTTAAAACTCCAAGACCATACAGTCTCCTGTTTGAAGAGAGTAATATATTATTATTATCGTTTCAAATGAATGGTTATAGTCTCAAAACAACTCTTAGTAGATTTATCATATCATTTATGTCAACCTGGATTCCTCCGAATGGCCATATCTATTTGTTTTGGAAAAACAGGAATGAATCATATTCAATAACTCTTACATAGAATGGAGTTCCTGATGTGAAGCAGTTCTCCGATCATGAATTGGATGAAATATTGACGAAATGGTGCCCTAAGAGTCCTTAATAGCAGATGAATCACTCACAAAAGATCTAGGTCGTGGAATATGCGGTCAAAAACCAGTGTACCTATACAGTATATTTTTCCAAAGGAAGAAAAAGGTAGATTTTTGTTCTATATAGAACATCTGGTGTTGTCTCAATTAGCCACAATTTTTTCATCAAATATTAACGGGAAAACTCAAATAAGTTTACAAACTTCGCAGGATTTCAGATTATTCAGTGCTATTTTCTGGCTTCCAGTTTCAGGAAAATACGTGCGATAAAAACATGCAATTGCAAGTGTTTCCATACTCGTCCTTTGTATGAATAATTCATCATCTTTCTTCAAGTGCGATAAGTGATATTCAAGAGAGAATTTGATTTGCAATGCATTAGCTCCCGATTCATAATATCATTTGGCAATGTTCATAGTAAAATCAGATTATTTCAATTTATATTCATCTTTCATCTTTTGGAGTGCATAAACATTACAAATTGCATAAAAATATAATAACATGATCTCCCTCATTCTCAAACATAATATACTTATCTATTACTTCTTTGTGATCATAAACATATTTTGCCACAATTTCAATTTTTTCTAGATGCTCATGCAAGTCATGCATGTTCTATCACACAATATTTGACGAATGCAATGAAGTCGCAATTATTCTAGTCTCATCAGAAGATAAAATATGGCTCGCATTGAATACGAAGCACAAGATTTTGTGAGTGTATTGTTAATTCATAGGGACTATTGAGATCTTTAGTAAAAGATATGAATGAATGGATGAATTTTTTCAAAATAGGTATACAGCCTAATATTCACAATATTATAATTGCAGAGAAAATGATTCAAGTAATTGATTCAACAATAATAATATACATGTCCATTCTATCTTATGACTTTTGATTTCAAAGGAAGTTAGTTTTGATTTAAACTGATGAAGATTTGTGACATTTTTCACTTCTTGTGGTAACTTATTATATTAATTTAAACCTTTATACAATATCATTTTCATTGACTTCGATAAGTTACATCTTGGCAAGTGGAAGTAATCATTATATCTGAAGAATTATGCAGAAAAAGTGCTCGATATCAAAATCGAGGTCCATCGTTAATATCGTTTATTGACGAACCTATTTGTCACCTAACTCTTATACTTGGAAACATTGAAAAATCAAAGTTGAACAAGGACCCTAGAATTTAGTACAGAGTCATATAAAAATGGTTTCTTGCCACAATCCTCAATGCATGCATTCTCAATGTTTTATCGATATCTTCAGGTTCATAAAGCACAATTATTATGAGTGAAAATACAAATCCATGGCCATTGTATGAAGAAAATTCAAGAATTTCGTGTGATGTTTTTTCTGCAGAATGTGCAGCTGCCCTATATCTGTTGAGAGCCCTGACTTTCAATTCGGAGACATTCTATAGTTAGAAAAATTACCCCTGCAGCACTTGTCACGTCATCAATTTGTAATTCTATGATTAGCAAGTCAAAAATGAGAAATTGCTTCACTTTCTATTGATTACAGGGCGATTTCACCACAATACTACTTTCGAAATCATGCTGATCTCTACCAACTCAATTCTGTCTACCTTAAAAGTACAATTTCAGTCCCCCTTGGATTTTTTGTGGCGACGCCTTTGATCTAGGAAGGTTGATTGACCATAGATATTTCATGCTGAGTTTGAATATTCTGAACTGATTTTATTCTCCAGGATAAGGCAGGGGAAAGGGCAATTCAATTTATAATGGTGACGCCTCCTTTGGATATCTCCCTGGACACGATACTAAAACAAATCATTGTAGGTATAGTGATATCATACTGATGCTTCACAATCAGTGTATTGTTGACATTTGATGTTCATATACGAATTCCGTATTCGTATTTGAACCCAAATCGTGATATCTTGATTACAATTTCACACTCAAAAATAAAAAAAATTCCAAACTTATATGAGAAGAGAGTTGATAGAGTGCTACCGCCAGAGGACAACAATTTTACCATAAGTGCTTATTATAGTACACAACATGCATAGGTATTTAGATATTTTATCGAATTTTTTTATATGAATAAGCGTTTCATGTTCGACACCTAATTTTCACTTTGAGTAAAACACAATGATTTTGTATCTATATTCGTTATATTTGATGATTCTGAATAAACAGTGGGTGTTTAAATCTCCTGTGATATAAGTTCAGAATTTTTTTTAAGAAATAGACGTCGTCAGTACCAATCCAAAGATCATAGTAGAAATAATCCAATTGCATTATTGCCGTTGGAATATTTCAAGGTAGGTGATCAGTTTTCATTGATTCGACATACCTGTTGTCAATCTCAATGAACACCATGAAAATGATATAAAAAATAATCTACAGAAATATTCCAAGAGCATGACGAATAGCCTATCATTATTTTCTTCATAATTCTATCGAAAGTAAGACATTTTCTCCTATAAACGTGTGTCCGTAATTCTTTCGTTACCGACCTACAATGCATTTAACGAATCTGCTCTCGTTTTCATAAAAAAATGGATTTTTTTATGGCAAATTCGTATTTTTCCTGACACTTTTCAGTTCTCAGTGACAATTTCTGTTGAAAAAGGGAGCAGATTCGTTCCCGAAACGTCCAAAGATTAGTAAAAATTTGATATTTTATTCTATATACCTTAATTTCTCTTCTCCAAACCTTTTTTAATACAAATTGTCACTGACAAGCTAGTGAATTTTCCTTTTAGGCTCTCTGATAGGAAAATACATTGAACGCAGTGACATTTTGGGGCAAATCATCTGATTTGTCCTAACTACACGTATATTGAAATAGTATTCATATTTTCATTTTATAGAGACGAGGAGAGAAAATCCCGAAAAAAATCTGGAATAATGCTATACCGGGTGACACAGGGTATCGGGCCACCCCTGTTACTTCTGCATTCGTCAACGGATTTTTCTGAAATTCGGTACAGTTATATAAGCAATCATTTCGGATATGATCACATTGCAATCCAATATGGCGGACTTCCGGTATTTTCGGAAATGCCAGCAACTTTGTTTTTTCAAATGAAACACCCTGTATATTTTTACATATCCAAGTTCAACAGGTCGAAACAAGTGCAATATTTATTTCAAATGTCATTTTTTCGAAAAAATTTTAATTAAAACTGTTTTTCCATTTTATCTCGTGGATAAATGAGATGTGGTCAAGACTAGTCACAATGAGTCACACATAACAGAAGATCATAATTTTTTCTGAAAAATTATTTTTTGTGTCACTTATCCAGGAATCAATAGAGTCACATCACTTTTTGATCAAAAATCAATTTTTTTCAAATGGAACCCCTATGGGCCACCTACCCGTCTCTCTAACACATACATTAAGGAACAAGATGACATATCATTTTTGTTTTTCGGTGCAGTAACAAATTGTATACATTCAAAAATCAACAACTAGTTTATGAATTTCCTTGCAGTTAGAATAATTTTTCAACTAGGTGAGCTGTGGAATAAATGACATTAGACATCAACATTGCACTTGTTTTGACCTGTTAAACTTGAATATGTTAAAATATACAGGGTGTTTCATTTGAAAAAACAAAATTGCTGGCATTTCCAGAGAAACCGGAAGTCCGCCATATTGGATTGTAATGTGATCAAATCCGAAATAGTTGCTTATATAACAGTACCGAATTTCAGAAAAATCCGTTGACGAATGCAGAAGTTACAGGGGTGGCCCGATAACCTGTGTCACCCGGTATATTCAGTTTGTGATTTCAATAACAAGTTTCCAAACCTAAACTAAAGAATAAGAAATCTTAAACAATCTCTGATATTTTCATAAAAGGTGCTGGGAAAATAAAATAAAAATTGAAACTGTAACTCTCTGTAAATTGGTAACGAAGCGTTTTTAGACTCATATTTATAGGCAAAAAGAAATTATTTTGACCTGGAAAATGAGTTCCTGAAATATTGATACTGGTTTTTGAACTCTCTGTATATTTGCGGCAACATACAAATTAATTTAGATAGATATATAAATGGATGAATGTTTCGATGTTTCAACTTCTTACTGAGAACGTTATTGTACATAAATCCGCCTATAGAGAGAATTTCGTCATCACTCATCAATGATGAGCTCTTTTCGAATGAAATCGATCGATTTCACAATTTTGAAGGAAATCGTACAGACAATTCCTATATGGAAAAAGTTAAGAAATTGTTAAGAAATGAAAATGGAAACTATAATGTCGATTTATTCTGGTAATGAATGCTAATGAATGTTATGCTCATACAGTTGGACATGAACAGTATATGCATTCATCGGAGATATAACTATAATGGCATTCAGATATTATTTTGAAATAAAAAGTTATTTGTCGTTGATTCTAGGAAGAAAATGGAGGATGAAGAAATTGATCTCAGGGATATTGTCAGAATCAATATAAAGGTTCTACAATTTTTTGGAAATATGTATCCCAAATTGAATTCACCCAGCGTAATATTTCGCTATATACTGAGATTTTCTATATTTTTTGGTAAGTATACAATCGCCCTTCAACATCATTTTCATCATTCTCATTATAATTACAATTCAATATTCAGTAGCAAATAACATGAAAATGTTCACCACTTTTTCATTTGACTAGTTTCTTTAAATGGTATAAAATACTGATCCTCAAATTTTTTTCCATCTCTTGGAGCGCACGAAAAGAAATTCCTATAATGTTCGTGGAAAGGAGGTAGGTTCTAGAGTTTTTTTTTGTAACTTTTGGAGGTTATAAGTTCTTGAGAATACTTCTAACTACTTTTGGTACAGTGTTGTTCGACATTTTTCAAGGCTAACGACGAAGAGATGTGCTGACTGGGCCTGTCGAGTTCGTCTGACTGGTATTGCTTGTGATGTAATTATGTCAGAGATTTCTGCATGAGGAACATTTCCCGTGAAAGTATCTATAGAAAATTGAAGGGTCGCCGACTTTTCTACGCTGTCCTAATAGGGTCAGAAACTTGGTGATTGTGGCATCATCCACCAGGCAAATGGCTCATCTCTGGAAGGAATCTAAGAGCATCAGCGTATGTTTGGGTTCACACTGGGTGAAATCACGTCCAAAAATCTGTCACTACCTGCCGGTTTATTTCTCAGTTTCTTCCTTCTTAGTGAATGAACTTTGTTTTGTTTTTTCCATCTTGGGATGAAAAATTGTGTGGAAAAGTCCTGCTGAATTGCTGAAAATTGAGGAACTCATATGGCAGTACCTATACATGCATGCTGAGGTGCGAGCTCGGGTGCGAGTCTGGAATCAAACCTCTGCATTATTTTTTTGAAAACTTGAAGCCTATATGTTTTTTTTTTAAATTGAGTTCATATCCAAAAATATGTGTGTAACCACAAATATGTATCTGGAGAAATTCATCAGAAGATCTGGAGAAAGTCATCAGAGGATTCTTATAGTAGTGTGCTTAGGAACATGTTCATGATATGGAACACGTAGGTTTGACCTTGTTTGAGATGTATTAATTGTATTTGTTCCTTAACAAATTGAAATCATTGTCCAATATCAATTTATCAACTTCACTGGGAGGAACAATAGAGTTGTCTGTTGTTGTGTGTGTTAAAAATTTGTAGTTATCACATGAAAACCCAGAAAGAATTATTAATTTCAATCAAAGATGTAACTACCTATCTAAATATATATTGTGATACTTGTGTGTATATGTGTGTTTATGAAAAATGAATCTGAGTTCTTGAGTTTTGTTTCAGAAAAACACTAGGGAAAATTCGAAATCATCACTTGAAATCCCAAAAAACAGTAATTGAGGAGGGAATGTCATGTAGGCCCGCACTGGGCAAAGAACATGAAAAAGATGTTTGCATACGTTATTTTCAAAGTATAACAATGGTTACTTTCCATAAACATATATGTAACATTTCTTTCAAAAACTTCTTTCATGTCGATAATTTTCCGATTCCAATATGATATAATATCTTCTCAATATTGCATCATCCTCTTTCTTGTCACAGAAAAAAATAGTGTATTATACAAGGGAAAAATATTTCATTCAATAATGTTGGGAATACTTTATTATACTCAATGATTTGATATTCACGTTTCACAGGGTGTTTCCTGATACTTTCTCAAATTCCAGCAACCAGTTTCACTTATCAAAGTGGGGCTGAAATAGTACAAAACTGTTTTATTCCTATTTTGATAACAGAAACTCTGATTACTGTAAAAAGTACTAACGTCATAATAGTGGTTTCATGATGAAAATAGTGAACGTTTTGAATCAAATAACGTCAACAACGAACGATAAAATGCCACCTTTCAGTTCGAATTATAGTTACGTTAATTTAATGATTATTGGAACATAAAAGTTAACTTGAAACGATGAACTTTGTGTAACGTGAAAAGGCTTTGGTTATGTTGAAGGACATTCAACGTTACTGGGAGGAACTGAACACTTCATTGTGCCCTATTTTTTTTTAATCGCTTAAAGCGCACGAACGGAAATCCCTATAATGTTCAAAGAACATCGTGCGTTCCTAGGGAGGATAAGGACAGGAGGTAGGTATTGGATTTTTTTTTTAACTTCTGGAGATTATATGTTGTTGGGAAAACTTCCTCAGGCAATGAATTCCAGAGCCTAGCCGTTCTATGGATGAAGGAGTTTTGGTGTGCTGTTCGACATCTTTCGAAGTTGACAAGGAAAGGATGTACTGACTGGGCTTGTCTAGTTCGTCTGACTGGTATTGCTAGTGAAGGGAGGATAGCAGAAATTTCCGAAGAACATGGAGGTATCGATAGAAAAGTGAAACGTCACCGACCTCTCTACGCTGTTCCAATGATGTCAAAGAGTGAGTGAGTGTGGCGTCACCCACCAGGCGAATGCCTCTTCTCTGGATAGAATCTAAGAGTATCAGCCTATGTTCTGGTACTGAACCCCATATGTGGGAACAGTATTCTAGAACAGGCCGTATCATAAGAAGCTGTTGAGGTGTAAAGTATAGCTTTTAGCACGGAACAAAAATCCGAGTTTTTGTGAAGCAGCTTTTGCGATGAATCTGACATGATTATCCCATGAAAGAGTGTTGCTGATGGAAATACCGAGCATAGATATGATGGGCTTGGTGGTGCCAGACTTTACGATATCGGGCATACTACGTTCCGCCTTTCTAGAGAAAATACAGGCTTGAGTTTTGGTGGCGTTGAATTCAATTAGGTTGTGAGTTCCCCAGGCTGTGATTTCAGGAAGGTATTCATTGACAGAATTGACCTGCCTGCGCCGTGAGTTCTTAGTTGCCTGAGAAGAAATGGGAATTCTCGAAGAGAACGCAGTATGGAGGGTACTATCATCAGCAAAGCTGTCGATGGGGCAAGTTGTTACTCCCAACAGATCATTGATATGAAGAAGGAATAATGTTGGTGTCAAAATTGATCCTTGTAGAACGCCGGAATTGATGCCAATGGTATCAGACGATACACCGTCCACCACCACGTGAAGCGTAACATGTAATCAACGTTACAAGTATGTCATGAAACTGGCATGCTTTTTGCCCAGTGGGTATATGTTCATCACTGAATATCTAGAGAATTTCACTTTTAGGTTCGAATAGTGAAATAGGCAAACCGCACCTGATTTCTAATTAACGCATAGTTTTTCCCAAAGTTTCAGACTTTCATAGAATTGAATATTCCACCTTCTCGAATAACCTACAGACAGTATCATGATTTAAAGTAGCGATGGGACTAGATAACTAGTTGGTTGAAACTAGACTATATCTTGTTATAAATAAATCTCATACAGGATGTCCCTACGGAAACTCATTTATATATTTTCAATTTCAACACTCTGTCTCTCACAAACAAAGCGATTCACCATCCATCTTTCAGGATTTTTTTTCATGGGCATAGTAGCTGGAGAACTAATAAACTGGTACCTGAGTGTAGGCGACCTACAGGCAATGGTCAATGCGAGTTTTCTCACTTTATCCAATATCGTATCGATGGTGAAATTCTACGCCATCTTCAGACACCAGAACAGACTTTCCATCCTGCTAGAATCAACAAACAGAGAAGAATTCCGACCTAAAAATCAACAACAGAAATATATTCTGAGAGAGCACATCAATACGATGAATATAATCTCTCTGCTGATGTATGGAGGTTGCATTTTCACTTGTGCGTTTTGGGCTATTTGTCCATTCACTGAGAAAAATGGACCTTATATGCCCATAGCAGCTTGGATGCCTTTTGATACGTCCAAAGAGTCGACCTATTTTGGAGTTATATTCGCATACGAGATAATTGGCACAGTTATTGGGGGGCTTACTGATCTGAGTGCTGACTGTCTGATTACTGGTAGGTTATCATTAAGAATATTCATTCCACATATTATTATTATTATTTTAGAATTTACCACACATACCTAGTGCAGCTATATAAGCATCATTCTAGAATAGAATAATCTTTGTGGCCAAATAACAATGGATTTTCTGTATAATATGTTTCAGAGCATTACCAATAACACGGTCTCACAACTCACCAAAATTACTATTTTACACTTCAAGAGGTGTTTCACAAACTATGCTATTATCTTCGGGAGTTTTTGTTTTTAATTCACTGATAATTAATCTGACCCACCCCTGCATCCAGTTCATACGGTATGGGATTTGTTTTCTGAAGGATTATAAACATGTATTACCAAGATAATTCACTTATGTACCAATTATCAACAGTATCTATTATTTTTCCAAAGGATCATAAATACAGAGTGTTTCTTCAAAAAAACCTAACCCCCTTGCTAGGATTGCAAAATGAGTTGGGTTTGCTCAGTAAAAAAATGTCGTAACGGCATCCGTTTTCATGTTACAAAGTGTTGAAAAAATTATTTTTTTACACATTTTTCACGATTATGTTGAAACTACTGGCAACATTGTGATGAAATTCTGTATGGATGTTTCTTGGAATCTGACACATCGCATGCATTTATTTTTATATCTGACTCTCATAGAGGGCACTAGTTACACGGTTCGTACCGAGTAGTTTTGAACATAACTTTTTTGAGGTCAAATTTTTCAATCCAAATTTGATGTGAACTTGAACATAATTCAATTTCACACCAAGAAGGTACTCTTGTTAAAACTCGATACTGTGTTCCGTTTTCGGAATATTTCGATTTGAAAATGATGAAGTGATAAATGATGCTGGTATAAAGCTATGTATTAGACTCGGTATTAGAGTGAGTATTATGAAAAATTATCACCTATTTATTGAAAACCGAAAACAACAATACATTTCTGATGCAAAACTCATTGATTTAACAATGAATCACAAGAATAACATCGAAACAGATTTGACTAAGAACATGGATTACACAGTTCTGTTGTATCTTGAGCAGAAAGTCTATGCTACATAGGTAAATTCATGTCAAGAGTTGTGAGACATAATTGAACATCACCTAAATGACCTAACAGCTGATCCTCAACTGTTCAGAAGAATAATTCATCCTTAAAAAAAGAATATAGAATCGTGTATTCCTCGAAGCGTAGGACATTACGAACACTTACTCTAACTGATTCAATATTTCATGTTTCTATACCTTTTCAACTTCAATTTCGGAATCGGTGAGTTATATTTCGGAAAAAGTGATCTCGATATCAGAATTGGTTAGTTCGATTTCAGAAATGGTAAACTCAATTTCAGAATCGGTGAGATTAATTTCAGAAAAAGTCCATTCAATTTCAGAAATGGTAAGTTGTATTTCAGAATTATTATTGGTAGGTTCAATTTCAGAAGATGAAATCCTTTTATATGTTCGAAATGTTTTTAATTGCAAAAGAGAAGATTGTTTACAGTGGATGGAACGGTGTTTGAGAGCTCTATGTTGAATCAGATTGAACACATATGGGGTGCCTCAGAAGTGAATAGCTTCTTGCAAGAGCATCGCCAAAGGGTCATAGCTGGAGATCCGAACAGATTGCTCGACCAGATAGAATTCAGACTGCGATGTCTTGAAGAATGTGCAGATCATTCAATGAAAATGATAACACCTCAAATGTGTTTGCATTCTTATTATCATGTGCAACGTCACTATCTTCCAGCGATTCAGATGGAATGCATCTGTGGATTAAATTGTTTTTGAAAAGTTGAATATTTTAAATATGGTTTGTTAATCTCACATGCAATTGGAAACATTTCGATCAAATATAAGGATTTTTTTATGATATTGAACCTACCAATTCTGAAATACAACTTACCATTTCTGAAATTGAATGGACTTTTTCTGAAATTCATCTCACCGATTCTGGAATTGAGTTCACCATTTCTGAAATCGAACTAACCAATTCTGAAATCGAGATTACTTTTTCCGAAATATAACTTACCGATTCCGAAATTGAAGTTGAAAAGGTATAGTCAAATATCTCTTAATTTTCTACTTATGATTCTTTATTCCATCAATAACTTTAGCACAAGAATAATTTTATTGTTTGTGAACCTGAATAAATAGGTAATTCAACTCAATGATAGTTATTTAACTAACTAGTGTATTAATGAGGGCGATTAATAATCGAGATATTTTAACGTGCGAGCGAAGCGAGTGCGTTAATGTTCGAGATCATTAATCGCCTTTTAATATACAAGTTGGTTACAAAATTTTTCCGTCGACTATATTTCTCATTTCTCCTGCAATGAAGAAAACTTGGTTCGCGAATTCATCATCCATCCGGAAACTGCTAAGAATCACCCAGTATAGCCTTGTTACTGACATTAGTGTCGTTTGACATTTGTCGAAATAATCAACATAGGAAATAAATTCCTTGTGTTAGAAAACAGGGATTAAAATTGTGTCAGAAACTTGGAAAGGCGAAACCGTTAACGGAAAATCGTCGATGAAATCCATATTTTCGATTTAAATGCAGATTCCGCTAGTTATAGCATAAACAATGAATGCACGCGGTGTATGTTTGGTTGCCTATAAAACAATCGTGCATTAATAGACAAATCGTCCATTAATAGGGGTCATTAATGAACGATTTCATATACATTAAACTTAGTCGTTAATACGAGGTCGACGGAAAAATTCATTTTATATCAGCATCATAACTACTCCATTATTTTCAGATCGAAATATTCTGAAAACGGAACATAGTTTAGAGTTTCACCTAGAGTACCTTTTTGTTGTAAAATTGAATGATGTTCAAGTTCATATCATATTTGGATTGAAAAATCTAACCTCAAAAAAGTTATGTTCAAAACTACTCGGTACGAAACGTGTAACTAGCGCCCTCTATGAGAGTCAGATATAAAAACGAATTCATGCGATGTGTCAGATTTCAAGAAACATCCATACAAAATTTCATTACAATGTTGCCAGTAGTTTCGGAATAATCGTGAAAAATGTGTAAAAAAATAATTTTTTCGACACCTTGTATCATGAAAAGGAATATTCTCAGATAAATTATGAACATACAAAAATGGATATATATTTATATGAAGCAATACATTGAGAATTCGCATTCCCTATGTGATGAGAAAATCTACTCTTTTTCAGTTTATTCAATAGAAAACAACTACTTTCCTGGCTATATGCAAACCCAACTTATTTTGCAATGTTTTACCTACTCTAGCAAGGGGGTTAGGTTTTTTTGAAACACCCTGTATATTACCAAAATAATTCACTTATGTATGTATAAATATTATGTAAACTCATGAGCTGAAGGACCAAGGTCAATTATTGCCCTCCATAATATGCAATAAAGATCATTGATTATTATCATTATCAATATTAATCTGTGGAGTTTCGAAACGGTTTTTTTAGCTCAAAATATATGAAAGAAAGATGTGTAGGTGTCAAATTTGAATGCATTTGTGGAGTTTCAGCAAATCAAACAGTACCTATCTGTTGTTCTCAGATTGGTATAAGTATGAAATCGGAAACAAAAACGTTCGCACATAATACCTGACGGCCCACCTTTTTCTTCACAACCTCCTTGACGTGTATCAATAAAAAAATACGTTCTACACCTCAGTGCAATTTGGTTTCTATAGAAGAATTACTGTTTCCAAATGGGTTTTCTTATTGATTCACTATTGAATGTTTTCAGGATTCCTTATGGTCGTATGTGCCCAATTGAAAGTACTGAACAACTCGTTGGTCAACATCCGCCAATTCGCTCTTCGAGAATTACAAAATGGCAATATGATCTGCCGGTACTACGATGACGATGATGAAGTTGATATTGATGTAGAACCCGAAAAAATAGGAGAGAAGCTGCAGGCAGTTATGGACAGGAAATTGATAGATTGTGTTATTCACCACAGATCCATCATAGAGTAAGTAGATCTGGCCGTTTTGTGGATAAGATAAATTACCTAATAGGCAAGAAAAAAACTGGAATATAGTAGTATAATATGCATTGTTTTTATGAACAGTCTGTACAATTTCAACGAGCGTGCAAACAGAGCTTTCATCGACACACTCGTCTAGCTATAGTACTGACGTCATAAACCCTCTTCCTATCTTGCCAGTTGTTTTGTTTCAAGAAAATGTTTTGTGAATATTTATCAATTTCCACATTGATGCTACTGATACTATCGGGATGATTTGATATGCATTAATGCACTAGCTGACACAAATAATAGTTATTAATACACCAACGCAGTAATGAATATCATTATATTACCCACGTACCAAGATTATATCCCGAGGCTTCAGCCTACTACCATCAAGGTGTATATTATTTTTCTTTTCACCACTAGCAATACATTGAAATCATTTTAGTTCTGTGAAACTGAAATATTAACCTATTTTCACTATGAAAGTACATCTTTTCAATTCTAATTAAAATCTAGTAGCCATGACCATGACAGCATTTATGACAATCCGTTATTGATAAATACCTACTATTATTCGGTTGTCATTCCTGCGAATGTCGCATATGAACATTGTATTCGGGTTGATTATAACAGAGGTGGGTGGCTATGTCATAAAATGACGAAAACTACCTTGGTAGTAAAAATACACTTTAGGCCTCGAGAAGGAGTAGATAATAATAATAATAATAGTGTCTTTATTAATCAGCAGATACGAACAATGTAGACTAATTGTCAAAACAAAATACTAATTCAAATACAAAATGGTGCTAGTTAAAAGGCGCAAGATCAGTTAAACTGTTCTTCCTCAATGGTAGGTATCATAGCTAGTGGTGGAAAAAGAAATTAAATACCTCTATTTCCATACATTTACACCCGAGTTTTAAGCAATGGACAATGTTGGTATATACCTGCCATTTCAATGAACCCAACATTTTTATATCGCTCTATATCATGATAATTTTGGCACAATCCAGTTTGAAAGAAAACAGGAAAAATAGTACATTATACATCAAGGGACAGAAATGCAACATTTTTTCCAAAGCACCGAGGGAAAAATAGCATTTTTTCCTGAGGTGTATATACTATTTTTTACGCTGGCGAAAACAAAAAATTAAGAAAGAATAAAAATTTGGTCAAAGTGTTTTGTCATGATTAGTAGTAGTAAAGTTTGTGGAATTCGTATCTTGACAACATGCATTTTGTTGACAACACATGGTGACAGCAAATATTAAACTGAAATTCATGAAAACATCTTTGAAAATTAACGGTTATTGAACAAGAAATCGAGGGAAACTCCCAAGAAACCATTGATACTGCTTCTGCAGTGATTCTTAACTTGCTACCAGTGAGATCTAGAAATCTGCATGATGCAGCTTATATACTCGCTTCAGAGAAGGGTGTTCCGAAAAGAAAGCGCAGAGCTATGCGGAAAATGTAAAGTTGGTATAAACTCCCTAGGGAGAAAATGTAATACACATTATCTGTCGATGTTTTCAGCATTTTCCCAAAAACTCCGCTATGTGAAAATATACAATGAAAACTGTTTCGTTAGTCAAGTCTTAAACACTGAATCACCTTGTATAAACGACAGATCCGCCAGACAAAAATTAAATGATGTTTCAAATTTCCATTTCTCATTGATTACTCGATTCATTCTGAAGCACCGGTAACTATCAAAATTATAGCAGTTATGTAGCTGAATCGTGCTCAATCCACAGAAATAAATTGTGATGAGTTTCGTCTAGGTGGTTATAGGTGGATCATTGTTTCGATAAATAATTAAAAACGAATATTCTCCAACATTCAAATGAAGTTCATCGAAAGAAATTCAAAACAAATTGAAAAGGTTTAGTCCAGTCATTATATCCAAATAACGGACCTTACCCGTGAATACTTTTTTAGTGGTTTTTTTTTTCATAGGTGTCTCGGGGGGGTCACTGGGAGTGTAAATTCAAAATGGCGACCAAATCAAGCTCAACTTTACACCATAAATTAGAAGAAACAAACTTGTAGAGAATCAAATTTTGGACAAATTTGGTAAAAAAAATAGTTCCGGAACCATTTTTTCACAACGACATGACAGACAAGCTACCTGCGCGGAATAAACTCTTCATTTATGCCGTAAAATGCAAAGCATTGGAGATAATGATAATCTTTTGAATTTGTCGCGTTTTTCAGGTTTAATTCCCAAAATACCGATTTTTGGAACAAAAACTCAGTAACCAAAATTGTTTAGAATTTGATTCTCCACAAGTTAAGTCCTCTTCATTTATGCCGTAAAGTTGAAAATAAACGAGATAATGAAAATATTTCGAATTTGTCGCTTTTTTCAGGTTTAATTTACAAAATATCGATTCTATCAGAAAAATTGTGAGGACCAAACTTGTAGAGAACCAAATTTACTACAATTTTTGTCATACGCAAAAGCTTGATTTGGTCGCCATTTTGAATTTACACTCCCAGTGACCTCCCCCCCGAGACACCTATGAAAAAAAAACCACTAAAAAATTATTCACGGGTCAAAGTCCAAAATGACTGGACTAGTAAGAAAACAAAAAATCATCTCCACAACGGTAAATAATCGAAAGATTATTCAGGGAAACATGTTTCGGACAGTCATGTGCCATCTCCATCATTAGCCTAATCCTTACAAACCAAAGGTCCTATAATACGACACAAGTTAATCATGAAAAATATTTGAAATAGGGAATATTTCTTGTTGCTGTTACTCATTTCATTTGAAAAAAGTGAACCACCAACAATGCATCGAACTGTGACATTACATTACTATGATGATGACTATATTTTCCAGATTTGCTGAGGAGGTCACTTTCCTATTTAATCACAGTATTTTAGGACAGTTCATAGTTAGCGTCATCATCATATGTACCACCCTTTTCGAAATGACCCAGGTAAGTGCAAATATCATTATTCATACAAAAAATCCTGAAATTATGGTGCTTTTCTCTGGTCTCCATTGATTTCTGTATTATACAGGGTGAGTCATGAGGAACTGTACATACTGTACATACCACGAATAGAGGCCCCTGAGGGAAATCAGAAAGTGTCTACTTCACTTCTTCTCGAATATACAGGGTGTCCCAGTATAACGTTCGTATACTCCGGGAGGTCGATCTACGATCTACGATTTTTTTTAGAACAATATGTAATTATATATATATATATATATAAGTACCCCATATCTGTAGATCTTCCCTTCTATATATATATATATAGAAAACTATGTGTTAGGAAAACAGCTAAAATCTCTATTTTCCTTGAGGTTGCAGTCAAAGGGAATGGCCATTCCCTTTGACTGCAACCTCAAGGAAAATAGAGATTTTAGCTGTTTTCCTAACACATAGTTTTCTTCAACTAGTCCAGTCAGGAGACTACCCTTTCACTATATATATATATATATATATATATATATATATATATATATATATATATATACAGGGAGGTGCGAAACTTGTAACCCGTGCTATAAAAATGTCCCAATTTTTTTTTGTCTCACACTGTATCTTCTTGCTTGTACCAGAATATGATTTTCCAAACACTTCTTCATAGAAAAGGTAAAATAAATGCATATCAGTCATTTCCGCAAAAGTGTATGCTTCCATTTTGCGGTGCTAATTTGAAAATAACTTATTGCAATAAGTATCTAATTAGTGCTATTTAAACTTTTGACATGTGTGCCTAACTGAAGCAAGCCTACTTGGTTTTTTCAATCGCCAAGGTACTTCGAAATTAAATGTGTGCAATTCCATAGCCTACTCCTGCTCAGTTTACGATTTTGTCTGGTAACAGTAGTTATCCGAAACGAAAATTGGCGAAATTTGACAAACTCATTCAGCAAGTGAATTTTTCAGGACATCAAAATGAAAATTACAGTTTTCTTGAAAACGGTTCGTTTTACGGCATTCCAACAAGAGTACCTTTTTCATGAAGAAGTGTTTGGAAAATCATATTCTGGTACTAGCAAGAAGATACAGTGTGAGACAAAAAAAATTGGGACATTTTTATAGCACGGGTTACAAGTTTCGCACCTCCCTGTATATTATATCATTTTTCCATTCCTTCAAACGATTTATGAGATCAAATTACCTATTGGTACAAAATTTCATGATTCTAGGATCAATGGTAACAAAGATAATTGAAGAAAACTGCATTTAGGGACCAACCTTCAAAGGGCTGTAGCGCCCTTATAGGAAGCATTTTCGGACACCTGTTGATAGGAACATTTTTCTTTATTTTTATCTGTAGATCGACCTCCCGGAGTATACGAACGTTATTCTGGGACACCCTGTATAGGGTGAATTATGAGATTTGGCAAAAATATCTTTTGGTCATAACTTTTCAACAGCTTCTTTGATTCGTCTGATTTTTCTCATGGAATATTCCGCTACTATACTCTCTCATCGATTGACTTAGTCAGAATCGGGAAAATTCAAGACCATACTTGAAAAATTTTGATAGTTTAGTTTATAGCAAAAAGTTCATCCTGTATATCGTTTTCGTAAACTGTGACAGAAAAATTTTCAAGGTCACGAACAAACATCAAAAATAAAATATTCCAAATTTTCCTCACGCTTTCACTGCAGTTTGAAAAAAACTGTTTTATGAAAAAAACGAAAATTTGGCAAAAAATTTATTTATTTCCTCTGCAACCCATAAATGTCACGAATAAAAATGATTTTCAATGCTTCAGCTCAATGAAAATCAACATATTATTTTATTTTCAGGCCTGGATTTAGTACTTCAATTTTTTTGTGAAGGATAATGATCACCTGTAGATCTTTCCTCAATCAGTGGATGGGGTATCTGAAAATGTTGATGGCTATTGCCATGAATAATTTTATTATTTCAAATCACAGTTTCATTAATTCGATTTGTGTTTCCCGAGCTACATATACACTCAAGAACTACAGTACCTTTAGTGCTAATTTGATCGGTTCGTGTTATTTAAAACCAAATTCCGTTTTTGCTTTTACTGTTGATTTAATGATATGCGAATATTTTTCTGATGTGAAAACACACTTGTTGAGTGTCATCACGATGAGATTGATGAGAAGCGATGCTTTCTTGTCTGCATCTGGGTGTTGAATAACACGATTCTGATTCACTAACATTAGTATTCAGTGTATGAAATTATCTACTGTAGTGAGACATAACAAAACATATCTGAGCTGATACACTATTTGGAGGCTGTCAAGAGACGAGCATCGAAGAAGCGCTAGTGTCGCTATCTATCAAGATATTTACTGAATATTTTTCTGTGCACAAAATGTATACTTTGATATTTAGTTTTATGTTTCCATCATAGTCTATGAATATTCCTTAAAATATTCTGAAGGAGATAGTTTGTGAACGTTGTGGGACAATTCATAGAATATTCTGTGCTTCCTGGGTAGTTATGACTCACGCTGTATATACTTGCAGCAAGGTGCATTTTTTATGCGAATCGCGAAGATATCAATGGAAATATTGTCGATATACTAAATACAAATGAAAGAGCTAACCTCTTGACAAAGATGTAGTAGAAAAGTGATTTCATTTGTTTCAGGTATCTTTCCCAAGTGTGAAGTTCTTCTCCTTGATTCTATATCAGTACTGCATGTTGATGGAGATTTTTATCATGTGCTATTTTGGGAATGAGGTCATCATAGAAGTGAGTATCGAATCCATGTAGAAAACACGATACAACAAACAAAATTTGCCAATCGATGAAAACGTTAACAAATAATTGAGGTTTCGGACAGAAAATCGAATTCAAAACTCTATTACCGAAATGTATTCGATTTATGGGAAGCTCTGACCTATTTCGAATCTATTTTGAAAGTTTACGATTTAGTCATAAGATGTTGAGTTCGTCTGACAAAATCATCGCAGTCCCTATCGAAATTGAAATATTTTTTGCGGACCTTCCAAAATTGGTTGTGCTATGTGGATATCAAATGGGTGCTGGAGTCATATGTGGGTCACACTCTATGTACAAGACAGTAGGGCATCTAGAATATCAAACTTCCGGGTGCAGCTGTTTTCGGAAGAAATTGTGATTTTTCATCAATTTCTTAATAATGATGATAATAACAATAATTTGTCTTCATACAACAACTTCTAGGAAATTACACAATCAAGTTTATAATAGTATTCTATACAACAAATACTGGAATGACCGTAGACGAAGGCTATCATACACACGGCTCTATAACGAAAATTCAGTTATTCAAATTCAACTAAGCATAGACACACACATATTAGATATCAGAAAATTATATAGTATTCAGATAGGCTGCCAACAGCACAAAAACAAAAATGAACTCACCACTCTAAATCATCAACATCAACATCTTATACAATTCTCTTCTAAAACCATAATTCAGAAAAGCTACGTGTATCTAGCTCCGAAACTTTTCAATTTTTCACCACAGCAAATTAAAGATGAAATTCCGCCGAAACGCTTCAAAAATCAACTCATAACATTTGTAAAACAAACTGAAAGAACCCATATACACATTGATAGAGAGTTGAACTAAGAGAAAGAAAAAAAGAAATTTTGTCATTTCATCTTTTATTCTTAAATATGCATGTTCATTTATCTCGTTAGACAAATCACTTTTTTATTTGTACATACCATACCATCTCATTCACAATATTTCACTCATTTATTCATATTTATATATTATTATCCATTCATCATCTTTTAACTATTGTAATTCTTATGTAAGTTTTTTTTTATATTGTATGTTTCTTCAAACAATTTATATTTTTATTTAGTTATCAAATTGTCTCATTGAACTTTTGTTGACTGTTTGTATAACCACAAACAAGTATGCATAATACTTCTGTGGAATTTGTTCATGTTTGTTCATATTATTTTATCAATTATTGTTATTGTTGTACTGATTTTATTATGAATAAACATTATACCATAGTCATACCTACAACCTGATGAACTTCTTCAAACATAATACTGAAGTGGATTGTCCAGCACTGAATGGCATTAGAACTAACAATGCAGGCGCGGTCCGAGAGGTGGGGTCACAGGGGTCATGAGCCCCCCCAAAAATCTGCACCACGTACTGTATCTCTGCAGACTCATCGCGATAATCACCAAGGGAACTAAGAGGAATATTAGCGAAGAACTGTGTATGTTCCATTACTGGACAGCGTAATCGCCTTTCTGAAGATATTTTGAACCAGTTTGGCTTAGGTATTTTTATGGCAAAATCAGAATACACTGAGGATGACCTAATGAATGTGAAGAAGGCAGCAGAATTCTATACTCATTATCTGGGAGTTCCTACTTCTTCGGTCGTTACAGTGTATCAGCAATGGATTTTAAAGTGGAGGCGAGAGCTCGCAGGAAATAGTTCAAACGTGACCATCAGTTGTGTCCCTTCGACAATTTAAGTTCATGACGATGACTTATATCCCATCAATATCAAGATTTTACTAAACATTTTTGCAAGCGCCTCCACAGCAGAAAGGTAATTTTCTACTTTGAGGCAGCTGAAAACTTGGCTAAGAGGAAGAATGTCAGAAGAGAGGTTAACGGGCTTAGCTCTCTCAAATAAACATCCCGAGATCTCTCCTAACGCGTTGAAAATCATCAATCGATTCTCCAAATCCAATAGAAGATTTACTTCTTGTTTGTACCTGGGTTTTTTTGTTTACTTTTCCATGAATAAATGTTTTTATATATATACTAGAAGTCAGAAGTCGAACGGGCAGGCGATCCCGTCGCACAAGCCTTTTAAGAGCTTCTGAGGGTTACTTCAGTAGCTTATGTAAAATTAGTGAATTGAAATAAATCACTTATCCGAACAGAAAATAGAAATTGTCCTCTCCTGTATCAAGTTAACCCCCCCCCCCCCAAAGATTGGGCTACGACCGCGCCTGTAACAATGAGGTATTAGTTCTCATGAGGAGTTGTTTATTTCATGAAACGACGCTGTATTCCTGTAAGAATTGACATGCTTGTTAGTGGAGGAATCTAAAAACGGTTGTGTTTACAATAATTATGGAGATCCCACAGAATGTGACGCTCACAGCTGAAAAAGCGTTAGGAAATTTACTGCCTGTGAAATCCAAATACTTATACGAGAAGGAGTACGACCATTTTTTGAAATGGAAAGATGAAAATAGAGTGAATGCCGTGAATGAAACTGTCTTAATGGTCCAGGAACTGTGTAGCTAACTTATGAAATTTCGAAAAATATTAATTTATCTCCTGAAAAATATCAATATTATATATTCATTCTACATTCTTTCAGTCTGAAAAATATTGTGCGAATACTCTATGGACCAAATACTCACAGCAGAAATCAACATTGATTGTTAAAGAAAACATTAATATATCACCATTCAGTCAACTGATGGCCACTCTGAAAGTTAAATCAGAAAGATACATTCCTAAAAAATCAAAGGTGTTGGAAGATGGACAAGTATTACTCTTTATAATAGAAGCTCCAAATGATACTTCTCTGCGTAATAAAGTTGTTTTGGTAATGGGTGTTTTTGGAGTCTTAAGACGTGATGAAATGGTCAAGATGACAATTGATGACATTGAAGACATCAGAGGAGCCGTTTTGCTAATCAAGGTACCAGAAACCAAGACCTGCACATCAAAAAGTTTCACCATTGTCGAAGAAAGCAAAATAGGAGCCTTGAACTCAGTTAAAAAGTACATGCCACTAAGACCAAAATGATGTAAACTGCATAGGTTTGTCCTAACCTACAGAAATGATAAATGCTTCGATTTACCTGTAGGTGAGGATATTATAGGAAGTGTTCCTTCTAACATAACGAAATACCTTGATTTGGAAAACCCGAAAGTTTACACCGGACATTGTCTACGCCGAACGTCGTCAACGCTTCTTGTTCCCTTTGAAACACTAAAATTAAATGGAAAATGGAAGGATAGTACTATAGCGGAGAGCTAGCTATATTGAAGAAAGTATCTCCTCGAAGAACGAAATTGCTACAATGATAGCCCATTCCGTTTCCGAAAAAGAAAATGTTAACGTTCCCAACGAATACGAATGCACATTGAGCAGTTCATCACCGGTCAACTCAGAGAACTTCAAACTTGGTACTAGTTTTTCAGGAACATTTGAAACTGTAATTTCTATATGACAGAAAATAATCAGTTATTTTTTATGTACAGTTATGAATAAAACTTTCCTGAGTAATTAATTTATTGAACTACAGAAAAAAACAAATAGCGGGCGTTATGATTCAATAACTTGGTAGATTTCAATGCAAAAAAAACACAAGCATGCCTTTTCTCTAGAAAAGCCGATCTCACTGTGACCAACAATAGCTTGTCAGGAGTAACCATACCTTTGAAGACATCCATTTCGATGCTGGGGATTATTATCAGCAATAACCTTTCTTGAGAAAATCAAGTGAGATCAATTGCTTAAAGTGCATCCCAAAAACTTTCTGTTTCTGTTTCGGGCCAGAAGCTATTTCACTTCCAGTCAGCTGCTTATGATCTATAAGGCACAGATTCGACCTGTCCTGGAATACTGTTCCCATATTTGGGGTGCAGCACCCAAACATATCCTTAAACTGTTTGATTCTGTCCAGAAAAGGGCAATTCGTCTCGTGGGTGATGCCTCGCTCACAAACTCACTCACGTCTCTGGAACACCGTAGAAAAGTTGTCAATCTGGCTCTATTTTATAGATATTTTCAATGACGCTGCTCTTCTGAAATATCAATAATTGTTCCTACCTTGGCAGTCCCCGCCAGATTAGCCTGTCGAGTTGAGCCTTCGCACCCCTTCGTGGTCACTTTGGAGACCTGCAGAACATCTCTTTCCAAAGACTCGTTCATCCAACGAACAGCGCGGCTCTGGAACAGATTGCCAAGGGAGGTGTTTCCCGAGGTATATAAACTACAGAAATTTGAGAAGAACACCAATTCCAACCTTATTTCCCTTGGATCTCACGATGTTCTCTGAACATTACAGGATTTTTCTTTTCGTGGGAACCAGAACATAAAAAAAATACCCTCCATAACGCCCTAGAGCATTATGGGTCTGTTAATAGCAACCGTTGCCATTGGTATTATGAAGCAGTAATGGACAAAAATCGAGGGGTAAATCACTGGGGCAGTCCGGTGTACATTCTTTCGGCAGTCCGGTGGCAGTCCGTGGCAGTCCGTGGCAGTCCGTGGCAGTCCGGTGGCAGTCCGTGGCAGTCCGGTGGCAGTCCGTGGCAGTCCGGGGCAGTCCGTGGCAGTCCGGTGGCAGTCCGTGGCAGTCCGGTGGCAGTCCGGTGGTAGTCCGGTGGCAGTCCGGTGGTAGTCCGATGGCAGTCTGGTCTCTCGTCTCGTCTCTCGTAATCCGACAATTATCACAAACTGAATTTTAAATTTGAAGATTCGAGAGGGCGTTCGCAAGGTGGCGGCGACTTTGTTATTTATTCTCTGATTTACCTGAAAATGTACACGTAGGGGTTCTCGAGATTGGCAATTTCGAATTTCAAGTCCAAATTATAAAAAACAAGATGGCTTTTGTAGGGAGGCGTCAGTTGTTCTCTCTTAGAGCGCACGAAAGGTAATTCCTATAATGGGGAGAAGAATTCATTTATTCTTGGAGTAATCATGGTTGAAATTCTATATGGCACCTATACAATGGGACGGAAAATCGCCTGAATAAAAAAAGTTCACCTTGGGGATCTCAAGCTCCAGAGTTGAAACCCACGCACATTTTGTGTATTATGGGCATACTGCAATTACGCACAGCGGTCAGTATTCTCAACAGTGTGTCCTAATCTCGGTCCTAATTCTCGTCCTTATTCCATAGTGCAATTGTACGCACGTCCCAAAAAAGGTATGCTGTAATTGCGTGCAAAGTAGGAAACATATAAAACGATAGTTTTATCAAGTTTCATGTTTTGAACTCATTCTAGGACATAAAATATAATCATTTCCGAAAAAGGAAGGAGACTTCTTTTTGCAAACAACCTAACCTAACTCGGCATGATATATAATATGAGGAAGAAAAATATTCTTTCTGCATAAGAAGGGAGACTAATTTTTCTAAACAATCTAACCTAGCGCGACCTAATATATAGATAATATGAAGAATATTCTTTCTGCATAAGAGAGGATACTACTTTTTACTAACAATTTTGTATTTATACTGTATTTAACCAATAAGAATTCACAAAATTTCAATAAGAAAATAGATCTCAGAGCAGTACCTGTTTAAGAATTTGTTTATCTATACCTGCCTTAATCCTTGAACATATCTGAATGTATTTCTGGAATGTTTTCAAAATTTGAAAAACCGTAGAAATTAATTTTCAACGATATTTTTTACGTGTTATAAAAAATTATGTGGTTTAGAAATAACCCAGAAAGAATATTTGTGGTGAATCACACTGTATACTCTTGACAATAATTTTCAAGTATAAAAATCACGAATTTACGATAAAGGTCGAATTTTCTGAAAATGTACAACGAGGATTTTTTTGGGTAGTGCATTACGATTTATAGGTGAACAGGGTCAACCAATACTGTGGGAAAGTGAGATAACGGCTTTGCTGTTTGAGATAGATGAACAAGAAATTTTGAGATGGTCTAGGCTGATGAGCAGTACATTTATAAAATATTTTGCGTTATACAGGGCGATTCTGAAATGAGTGGCGTATCAAAGTTATACTTTTTCTTATGGGACACCCTGATGTGAAAATGCATTGAAATTTTCAGATTCTCCCTTGTGAGTTGATTTCATCAAATTCATCAAACTTGTGCTCTAGCGGGATTGATTACAGAGATATAAGGTATTCAAAATCGAAATTTTTCCACTTCAGGAATGTTCCTTATTTCGAAACCAAAATATTTTTTATTTTCCAATTTCATTTGTATTAGTCCATACGGTTGTTTCGAGGTTTCCTTCATCTCTTTCACAATTTTAATGTGTCGAGGCGAGTGTCTAGGTCTAGTCCTAGGTAGTAAATCTCTCTCTATTTCCACCTCTCGGTATGAGATCCCCATTGTGGAAGAGATAACAAAACTGTTCGTATTATAACTGATATTATATTATCCTTGATGAAATATTTATTTTGTTTTTGTTAGTTCTGATTTTGTTACTTTTGTTTTTGTTACTATTGATTTTGTTACTTTTTTTACTTTTGTTCTATATAGGAATCACTATAATTAATTATTTTGGAATGTACTCATGATATTATTTCAGCTTGATATTTAGTAGGTACTCGGTATAGATGCATTTCAATAAACACACTGTGTGGCATCTAGAATGATGTCAACGCTGTAGATTTTGAATCGTTAAATCAATTAATAATTATCATTATTTACCCATGAATCGGGCGAATCTAAAGAGAATGGATGTTGAAATCGTCCGCCATCTTATGGGACGCCATCTTGAATTCTCAAATGTGACTCAAAATGCGTATTTTTCAACCACGATTTCGTGACAAATTGATAAGGAAATGGCAAAATCGTTTGAATTTGAATATTTAACTCGGAATTCTGATATCTCAAACTTAAAACCCCCAGAGTTTTCATTTGAGGCATTTTGGGGCGAATCTGAAATCCTCAAATACAATTCAAAATTCGTATTTACCGAGATATTAACGAACCAAGACAAATACTGATTTGAACTTCCAAACGGAATGAACGAAATAAGTATATCAATTTTCAAATTTTCACTCAAAATTCGTATTGTTCAACCTCGAAAATTTTGTGCTGAACATTTTCAGGCGAATCGACAGAAAAATAAAAACATCGGCTCTCTGTACTATTGACGTGTATTTCCACTTCACCTATTGCACCGCAAAAAATATCTTCATTTCATGTAGATTTAACGAGATATGTTATGTTATATCACGTTATATACAGGAATGTTATAGTTTCCGGATCAGTTTCTTATGCCATAGGTTTCCAATGAGATCCTCATATCGTAGGTCACGGTTGATGATTTATTTCTTCTATGGCAATCACCAGAACGGTTTTCGTGAACTTTGTTCCTGTGGTGAATTGAAATTTCCAAAAAACAGCTTCATTTTTATTGGAACACATGATTGAGTGATAGTCCATTACATTTCGATGGCAGTCCGGTGGCAGTCCGGTGGCAGTCCGTGGCAGTCCGGTGGCAGTCCGAGACAGTCCGGTGGCAGTCCGTGGCAGTCCGGTGGCAGTCCGGTGGCAGTCCGGTGGCAGTCCGTGGCAGTCCGGTGGCAGTCCGTGGCAGTCCGGTGGCAGTCTTGGCAGTCCGAGTATGAATGGCAGTCCGGTGTACACGAATTTGCTCAGTGATTTACCCCTCGACAAAAATATATATATATTGAATTACACCAACAATTTTCGTACAATAGGCTGTAATTTTACTTATAATGAGTTTCGCTAGTTAAATTTTTTCTTGAGTGAACATTATCTCCATAATTTCAATATGCGCTCCAGCTTCAAATTGTAATTTTTTCAATTTGCTGTTTATTAGTTTGAATAGATTTGAGACTGACAAATAACAGAAAATATCCTATACACGCACTTATTTATAATTTGTATCGTTTCAAATCAACATAATCTCAACATTCTGCTTCAAAATGTTACCATTATAGAATTGGTAGCAATAAATACATGATCTAGATATTGAGCGATAATTCGGCTAGTAGGATTCTGTATCAAATAACCTGCATATTATTTTTGCCGAAAATATGCACTAAAGCAATCGATTGCATGAAATACAAAATAGGAAACTGCTAAGCGGCTCTAAAATATCTATAATCTATAAAAATAAAACAAAGAGCAACATTAATATAGAGGTTCCTAGTTTGAAAACCATCGCAGAAATCACTGTTACCCCCGCTAGAGATCCAACTTAGAGCCGCCCTTGTACACCTCACACGAAAACTGAACGTTTTACTGACACTAACTTCATTTCGAACTTCTGTCTTTTCAGAGCAACAAACTGACAAACTTCGCCTACCATTGCGACTGGACTCCGTGCTCGCTTCAATTCAAAGGAAATCTACTCTTCTTCATGACTAGGTCCCAAATGGTTCTGAAACTGTACGCCGGAGGATTCTTCACTTTATCTCTGGACACTTTTGTCCGTGTGAGTTTCATTTCCGACGAGTATATACCCGTTTTCACTGTTTCACCACTTCACTTTACTAGGTATACCTTCATGATTTAACGCGGTCTATACCGGGTGGTCCATTTAAGACTATCCACCCTCGATTTCTCAAAAAATATCAAAACACGTAGATTTTTTGGGGGGGAGTGCAGTGTTTGACGCAAAATAGATAAGACTCACTTCCTGTATGATCTAAGGGTGTACCCATTTAAAACAAATAAGACATTCGTTTCCGTCGTTCTATTCTAAGCTATGCGCGTATATCTAACGTACATATATGTTTTTGTTATTATTTAAATTTTTTTGTGCTCACCTATAGCTACTATTATATACTTACACCTATCTTCATTCTCTCAGTATTTTTGTTATTTTTTTGTTGTTGTTGCGCATTGAAAATATCTACCCGATCCGTCAAGCCGTTTAGTAGTTGAAGCAGCGCCACCTACAGCATCCAATTATATTCAAATCATCCAGGAACCCATCAAAAAACCCATCTAAAATTTCAACCCAATCGGTTCAGCTGTTTATGAGTTATGTGAAAAAGATAAGAACGGAAGGATAATTATTATTGCTACCCGTTGTCTTATTTCCAGTTTTTCCGTAGAAATTAAGCATTTTTCCGCGGTAAATAGTAGCCTATGTCCATCAGAAATAATGTCGGCTTCTAATGGTGAGAGAATTTTTCAAATCGGTCCAGTGGTTTTGGAGCCTATTCAATACAAACAAACAAATAAACAAGAAACAATCAAACAAATATTTCCTCTTTGTAATATTAGTATATATAGACATACTTAAACCCTCTACTCCCAAGGGCAACCCTATCAATGATTTGAATGGGGAATAAGGGTCATGTTATACATCATTGCAAAGGTAATTCAATTCTGTCCCTAGTAGTACGAAGATGTATGAATTCCAACCAGGCGTTCTCGAGATATTAGAGTTTTTTAATTGTCTTCATATTGAATCGGTATCCACAAAAAATGTTCAAACTCCATGCAATGATACAGTGGTAAAGACTATTTACAAATGTTCCTTGTCCATTTTATTTATCATTTCGAAGTACTAACCATAACCAGAGCTCTGTACATTTTTAACACGTTCGCGGACAGTGGGTGCTGAAGTTGGACTCTCTCTGGGTCATTACCATAACTTTTGAACCAAATTCTGGATTTTAACAGGGATCGGATTCTCAGAAATGTTGTCACATTTTGCTAATTTCAGTTAAATGAAAAAATGAGACTGCTACTGCAGTAATGTCCCTTCATATCATTTCACTTGATCTCTAGGGACACGGCTGCAATTGCAGTTTATATATTTTATAAGTATACAAAACAACATATGATAGAATGTATCATTTGTGAAAATTTTCGAGATATTGGACACATAAATCCGGTCTATTCTCACATGCTTTGCATCTTCGACAGGTTTGTACTCTTCTGATGTGATCCTAAACGCATTGTCTGCAACGAAAGAAATATCTTTTACGACGATAATTTTCAGGAAGGAACCCTTTCTCGACGGTGATGATGTAGTTTCATCGATTTCACAAAATGCCTTCCATCTGTGCATGATAGTCTCATGAACTCGCAAAAGCTGTCATCAATTGTTCACGGAACTTCAGATAACCAATTGCGGAATGATTATTCCTTATAGATAATGAAAGCGTTCATAACACTTATATTTAATAAGTGAAACATCACTTTTTTGTTCCATCTGATAGACTTTCTTGGATGACAATAATACGAGACCATCTGATCACACCGATCCATAATGGAGACCGTCTGCAAGTGCAGTCACCACGACGCAGCTCACGTGATGTTCAAATTACCTGACACTTGTGACCATCTTGTGACCAATCATATCTATTTGAGATCACAAGGGACAGTGCCCAACAAATTATTGATACATGTTGGGACACTGAATACTAAGATTCGTTGTGATGAATATGAAAAGCTGTTATCGCAGTCGTGCTCACAGTATTGGAAGTCCGCTATTGCAGTCGTTGCCCACTGGAAGATCTACCAAATGGCTCTAATTATTGCAGTTGTGTCCGCGAACGTGTTAAAATAATGATTGAAATTCACGGTTTTTCGTAAAATAAAAAACGCGGGAAAACGAGTGACGTAATCATCCGGAAATATTCTACATACGTAGATATCTATTCTCCTTGTCTGTGAGACAAGTGCAAGAATATTCCTCATTATCATTTCAATCAAAATATGAAAAAAGTTTGCAGCAACTCCAGAAGGTAATCGCCTTAGAGTCTAGGGAATTTTCTGGTCTGAATACTTACTGCAGATAGCAGAGAACACAACACACAACTGAAAAATCAGATAATCAAGAGGAATATCTTTGAATATTCGCATCTTGACTAGATGAAACAAGGATTTGAAGATGGAGATGACGTTCGTAGACTGAGTTGACAATGTAGTTTATATTCTTCGTCTCTTCTTATATTTCTGGGAACTCTAGACATTACGCTGTTGCCAGTGCCACAAAATAATTTGGGTTAGAATGAAATCTCGATCATTATTGGAAATACTAGGATATTCCTATTGGTACTGAAGCATCTTGCAACTATATAAGTATTCAATTGGTTGTTCGTTATTTATTACTGAAGACCAGTTCGAAGTATTGTCTTCTGTGAATGTGAATACTGTTGTCATAAGTCGTATTGAACCCCATGAGGTAATGACTAGTTACAAATCTAGCAGCGTCGGAATACATCGCCCTACTTTTTATGCGAAAGCCAGAATTCAGATAACGATGACTTTCGGTTCGGTTCATGACGTCATCGAAGGTGCCGAATTTCATCATTAAAAAAAATTATTTGCTATTTGCGATAATTTCAAATAACGAATGATTGCATCAAATACTATGCAGACACGGAATGATCAATATGAAATAGGTTTGTGGCGTAAATTCGACTAGTGTGTACAACCCCATTGTTATTTGTTTTATTGTAGTGGTCGACACTCTGAATAGGTACTTGGGTAGCACAGATCTTATACGTATGTATATCTCTGCCAAGGAAGCAAGCGCAAGCCACAGGAGGTAATATTTTTTGCCTCCAGCGGGAGTGAACTGACAAGTTTGTGTCCTTAAATGAGGACGCGAACGCTTACTTTCGATGCGTTGAGTAGATAATAGTTATTTATACACCAAGGTAGTGAAGAATATCATTATTACCCAGGGACCAATATTATATTCCGAGGTAATAATATTCTTTACTACCAAGGTGTATATTAAAATGTTTTCACTACTAGCAAAATATATTTCAATCATTACAGTTCTGTGAAACTGAAATGTAGACTCATGGAAGCCCTTCTTTTCAATTCTAATTGAAATCTAGTCACCATGACAGCATATGACAAGTCGTTATTGATAAATACCTACTAGATTCGAGTGCCATTCCTGTAAATATCGCATCAGAACAGTGAATTCGGGTTAATTCTAACAGAGGTCTTATGACTTAATTCACTATAGATGTTCATGAAATAACGAAAACTAGCTTGGTAGTAAAAACACACTCAACGCCTTCAAGAGGAAAGAATAATGGTAGGTTCTATAGCTAGTGGTAAATTGAAGAGATATTATTTCTGTAAAGACCGCTCGCAGCCATCGCATTTATATATACATATATATATTTATACAGAATGATTCGTGTATGAGGAACTCCGTCATCGGTATTTCTCTATAATGGCAACTTCATTTCACGATAGCATACTGAATTTGATGGGCGCAATTCATACAGAGCTTATGTGTAATGGATTTTTGAACTCAGCTTTCCATGAAGGTTCCAAAAATGGAATGATATGTAGGGTGTTCCATTTGTAAAATTGTCGTGGTCGTCATAACTCGAACGAGGGCAGTGAAGTTGCTAACTCACTTGCCCGAGCATGAGCAAACGAAGGGTCCAGAACCCTTTTGTGTTATTGCGAAAGCTATACAAAAGACAAAGAATGGTGGAACAACTCGCCAGGAATAAGAGACAAAGGAGTTTATCAAAAAACCTGAGCCAGAAAGTACAACTAGAATACTATAGTGGGACTTCTCACAGGGTATTGTAGGCTCAACAAACACATGAGTACGGTGAGTCTTGCTGAAGAACTGCAGTGAAGGTTCTGTCAGGAAGAGGGGTAAACAGCAATACACATACTTTGTCAAGACTAAGGTTCCTTACGCTGGGCGAGGAAAGACCTAGAGGAGAGGCCAAAGTTACACAGGGGATCTGACAGCTAGCCTATGCAACTAAACTAAACGATTTTGAGGGCAGACACAAGATGAAAAGGTCGCGGTGTGGAGGCAGATAGCCCGAAGGCCCCATTCTAAATCTAATCTAATCTAACTCGAACGTAGATCATCTTATATATATGATTTTTACTCATTAATGTGGCGAATTGGAAATCGACCTGTCTCAGGAGATTCCTTAGAAAGTCTGGCTGGAAATGAATTTATTCAGTACCTATACTTTACGAAGGCACTGAAAGTAGTAACTTGAATTTCAGTGGGCTGTATTTTAAACAATATCCTCAACTCCCATCAAGAGTAGGTATAGTAGTTTGAGCTATGTGTAATATATTGCAATTATTGTACCTAATACCCATCTAATTTTGACGTTGTCAAACAAGCTTGCTACTGGTTGTTGTCTATTAGTAGAGTGCCAAACGAACCGTAAGTCGCTTAGATCAAAAGATGGTGGGAAATCGGAGGTAAAAAGCTGTGACATGGCTAGAATTGTTACCTACCATCTCCTGATCATGGATCCACTTGTCGTCAAAAAATCGTCCTGTGCGTTTGGGGGGTAGGGGGTAATTTATAAAAAAATATGGATTATTTTTTTATTTGTGGAAAATATTGATGGGTTCCAGAACTTCCACCCTGTCGAATCTTGATTTCGTGTGACGAGTAGAACAAATTATAGAAAATTTTGAAATTCACCAATTACATTACGATATATGAGAAAATCATATTTCAAA